ACCATCAGTTGGACGCAGGAGGGAGAGATATATCATAATCTACACTTGGAAAATCTTGGAAGGAATGGTCCCAAATCTGCACACAGAAATCACTCCCTACGAAAGTAAAAGACTGGGCAGGCGATGCAAAATGCCGCCAATAAAAAGTAGGGGCGCCATTGGTACAGTAAGAGAAAACACCATAAGTGTCCGGGGCCCAAAACTGTTCAACAGCCTCCCATCAAGCATTAGGGGAATTGCCAATAAACCCCTGGCTGCCTTCAAGAGAGAGCTGGACAGATACCTCAAGTCAGTGCCGGATCAGCCGGGCTTTGGCTCGTACGTCGGACTGCGTGCGGCCAGCAGTAACAGCCTAGTTGATCAGGCCCTGATCCATCGGGAGGCCTGGTCATGGACCGGGCCGCGGGGGCGTTGATCCCCGGAATAACCTCCAGATAACCTCCAGGTATCATTCACTCCATCACTGTCTTGCCAGAAGGGTGCTTTACACTACAGTTTTTAAACTGCAACATTAACACCCCTCCTTCAGACTGCAGGCACTGTACTTCCATCTCCAGGACTCAAGTCCGGCCTGCCGGTTTCCCTGAACCCCTTCATAAATGTTACTTTGCTCACACTCCAACAGCACGTCAAGTATTAAAAACCATTTGTCTCCATTCACTCCTATCAAACACGCTCATGCATACCTGCTGGAAGTCCAAGCCCCTCGCACACAAAAACCTCCTTTACCCCTCTCTCCAACCTTCCTAGGCCGGCCCCTACCCCGCCTTCCTTCCACTACAGACTGATACACTCTTGAAGTCATTCTGTTTTGCTCCATTCTCTCTACATGTCCGAACCACCTCAACAACCCTTCCTCAGCCTCTGGACAACAGTTTGGTAATCCCGCACCTCCTCCTAACTTCCAAACTACGAATTCTCTGCATTATATTCACACCACACATTGCCCTCAGACATGACATCTCCACTGCCTCCAGCCTTCTCCTCGCTGCAACATTCATCACCCACGCTTCACACCCATATAAGAGCGTTGGTAAAAACTATACTCTCATACATTCCCCTCTTTGCCTCCTAAGGACAAGTTCTTTGTCTCCACAGACTCCTAAGTGCACCACTCACTCTTTTTCCCTTTCGTCAATTTCTAATGATTACCTCATCTTTCATAGACCCATCCGCTGACACGTCCATATATATAATATAATATTTTATATATATAATATATATATAATAAATATATTATATATTAATATATATATAATAAAATATATATATATAATATATAAATTATTATATATATATATTCTCCTTAAAGGCCTTTTTATCCACTTCTCCGAGGCTATGGGTCCCACAATTTGAAACCAAAGGGGTGGACCCCATCCTATATAAATATATATATATATATAAAATTAATAATATATATATAAAATTTTATATATATATATATATTATATATATTATATATAACCTCAGTGACTCAGCAGGAATACAGGACCCTAGCTATGCCAGTGACTCAGCAGGAATACAGGACCCTAGCTATGCCAGTGCCATCACTGAATGGGAGACTCTTGCTGCTCCAGCACCAAACCCTAGTGCAGCACTGGCTTACAAACAGTCAGGCTGGGATGACCCGATCGCTGAAAATGTGCTTGCCGACATGCTCAAGGCTGCAACGTCAGATAGGGAGACTGCCCATCTTCAGGCTGTGAGTGCACATCACTCCGGGGACTTCCTCCAAACAGTTCCCATATCGGCAATGGGAGCGCGACTCGACCCTAAGACCCTCCGTATTGCAGTGACTCTGCGTCTTGCTGCCCCAATTCACACAGAACATACGTGTATTTGCAGCGAAGCACAAGCCGACCAATACGGTCTACATGGTTTTAACTGTTCCAAAACCAAGGGCTGGCATGCAAGACACAATGAGGTCAACGACATCATAAAGAGAACCCTTGCTACAGCTGGATGCCCAGCCGAGAGGGAGCCCCGATCTCTAGCAGCCAACAATACCCACAACCAGCTATCCGCCCCGACGGGATCACCATCTATCCTTGGAAGAATGGCAAGCTCTTAGCATGGGACTACACCTGTGTGTCCACACTGGCTGACACCTATATCCATCACAGTGTGGGGCGACAGGGAGGAGCTGCTGACCACAGGGAGGAGTACAAGATCAGCAAGTACAGGGACATAAGCCAACAGTATCAATTTGTCCCAGTGGGATCAGAGACCTTGGGATCATGGGGAAAAAATGCCACACGTTTCCTTAAAGAATTCGGTTACAGACTCATCGACACCACCAGGGACCAAAGGGCAGCCACTTTCATGTTCCAGCGCCTCAGCGTGGCCATCCAGAGGGGAAATGTTTGCTGTATACTTGGCTCGCGTCCGGCTTCGGAGAAGCTGGAGGAAATTCATGATCTTTAATACATTGTACCATTGTATTCATGTTTGTGTTTTCTGTAAGTGTATTCTGTTTATTAATAAATGTTCACATAGAATATAAAATATAGGTGGTGGTAGGAGAAGAAAATATTCAAACACCTCCGGGGAGAACCTTGAGTTTTCCATGAGGTACGTTTATTGTCTTCTCTGAGGATGAGGGTCCCATTCCAGCTATAGAGGTGGTACTTCCATAATATATATATATATATATATATAAAATATATATATATATATATATATATATATATATATATAAAATATATTTTATATTATATATATATTTTATAGTGATACTTATTAATGGTTACATAGTATATATTACGCAGTTTCCTCAAAAGGGATCCTCTTCCCGCAATCACCAAGAAGGTAACCATTTAACAAAGACTCTTGTCTGGGAACACTTGTCCTGTGTAATGACGAACAAAACTCCCTCTTTTCTCCTCCTCTTCTGACCGAGGAAATAGTGTAAGCTAAACAGAGATTAATTCTGCCTAAAAAAATGCTCTCCAGCAGAAGATTTCAGGAGCACAGAGAAGCAGGGTGATGCCTTCTCTCTAGCAGCGTGAGGAAGGTGCCTTGATGCAGGGGAAGATCTCTTGATCCAAGGAACTAGACCCCACATCTTTGCCCTCAGATCGAATCTGATTGCTTACCATTTTTTTTTTTTTTTAATTGCCGGTATTCTCCCGGCCCGGGTCTTTTCCAAGTAGTGGTGACCCGGCCTTGGCTCCCTATCTGGGGAGTGTCTCGAGACTTAAGTCTCTCCACCCATGGCACATGTATAACATTATGACTATAGCACTTTTCCTTGAATATAATAATAATAATAATAATAAGTAATAACAACAACAACAATAATAATAATAATAATAATAATAATAATAATAAGCAATAATAATAATAATAATAATCTACCAGCATATATAGTTCGTGGGAAGTCCCACGAACAGTATAATTATGTATCTAGGTCAGTATTGTGTGGCTGTCGGCAGCCCCCCTCCCCCCACACACACCTACCTATATTTTTGGTAGACACTCCACACAGGATGAGAGAACACTCAGTGTTGTCAAATGAACTGACTGGCTATTGCCGTTTGCTTCCTGGTGTAATCAGAAAGATATTGTTTGAGCACCTAGCAAAGGTCGAGTCCTGCCTCCTGGTCCTGTCTCTTGCCACATTCACTCCCTTCTAGTCTCGTGGTCCCTATGGTGTGTTAGTTACCAAATGGTAAAGGCACTTGTCGATAGGCACTTAGCCGCCTGTTGTTTAGTGTGTGTTTAGTGTGTGTGTACTCACCTAGTTGAGGTTGCGGGGGTCGAGTCCGAGCTCCTGGCCCCGCCTCTTCACTGATCGCTACTAGGTCACTCTCCCTGAGCCGTGAGCTTTATCATACCTCTGCTTAAAGCTATGTATGGATCCTGCCTCCACTACATCGCTTCCCAAACTATTCCACTTACTGACTACTCTGTGGCTGAAGAAATACTTCCTAACATCCCTGTGATTCATCTGTGTCTTCAGCTTCCAACTGTGTCCCCTTGTTACTGTGTCCAGTCTCTGGAACATCCTGTCTTTGTCCACCTTGTCAATTCCTCTCAGTATTTTGTATGTCGTTATCATGTCCCCCCTATCTCTCCTGTCCTCCAGTGTCGTCAGGTTGATTTCCCTTAACCTCTCCTCGTAGGACATACCTTTTAGCTCTGGGACTAGTCTTGTTGCAAACCTTTGCACTTTCTCTAGTTTCTTCACGTGCTTGGCTAGGTTGTGGGTTCCAAACTGGTGCCGCATACTCCAATATGGCCTAACGTACACGGTGTACAGGGTCCTGAATGATTCCTTATTAAGATGTCGGAATGCTGTTCTGAGGTTTGCTAGGCGCCCATATGCTGCAGCAGTTATTTGGTTGATGTGCGCTTCAGGAGATGTGCCTGGTGTTATACTCACCCCAAGATCTTTTTCCTTGAGTGAGGTTTGTAGTCTCTGACCCCTAGACTGTACTCCGTCTGCGGTCTTCTTTGCCCTTCCCCAATCTTCATGACTTTGCACTTGGTGGGATTGAACTCCAGGAGCCAATTGCTGGACCAGGTCTGCAGCCTGTCCAGATCCCTTTGTAGTTCTGCCTGGTCTTCGATCGAGTGAATTCTTCTCATCAACTTCACGTCATCTGCAAACAGGGACACCTCAGAGTCTATTCCTTCCGTCATGTCGTTCACAAATACCAGGAACAGCACTGGTCCTAGGACTGACCCCTGTGGGACCCCGCTGGTCACAGGTGCCCACTCTGACACCTCGCCACGTACCATGACTCGCTGCTGTCTTCCTGACAAGTATTCCCTGAGCCATTGTAGTGCCTTCCCTGTTATCCCTGCTTGGTCCTCCAGTTTGTGTGTGTGTGTACTCACCTATTTGTGGTTGCAGGGGTCGATTCATAGCTCCTGGCCCCGCCTCTTCACTGATTGCTACTAGGTGTGTGTGTGTGTGTGTGTACTCACCTATTTGTACTCACCTATTTGTGGTTGCAGGGGTCGATTCACAGTTCCTGGCCCCGCCTCTTCGCTGATTGCTACAAGGTCCTCACTCTCCCTGCCCCATGAGCTCTATCATACCTCGCCTTAAAACTATGTATGGTTCCCGCCTCCACTACGTCACTTTCTAGGCTATTCCACGGCCTGACTACTCTATGACTGAAGAAATACTTCCTAACATCCCTTTGATTCATCTGAGTCTTCAACTTCCAATTGTGACCTCTTGTGTGTGTGTCCCTTCTCTGGAACATCCCGTCTTTGTCCACCTTGTCTATTCCGCGAAGTATTTTATATGTCGTTATCATGTCTCCCCTGACCCTCCTGTCCTCCAGTGTCGTCAGGCCGATTTCCCTCAACCTTTCTTCGTAGGACAATCCCCGTAGCTCTGGGACTAGTCTTGTTGCAAACCTTTGCACTTTCTGTTATTTCTTGACGTGCTTGACTAGGTGTGGATTCCAAACTGGTGCTGCATACTCCAGTATGGGCCTGACGTAGATGGTATACAGAGTCTTAAACGAATCCTTACTGAGGTATCGGAACGCTATCCGTAGGTTTGCCAGGCGCCCGTATGCTGCAGCAGTTATCTGATTGATGTGCGCCTCAGGAGATATGCTCGGTGTTATACTCACCCCCAGATCTTTTTCCTTGAGTGAGGTTTGCAGTCTTTGGCCATCTAAACTATATTGTGTCTGCGGTCTTCTTTGCCCTTCCCCAATCTTCATGACTTTGCATTTGGCAGGGTTAAATTCAAGGAGCCAGTTGTTGGACCAGGCTTGTAGCCTGTCCAGGTCTCTTTGTAGTCCTGCCTGATCCTCGTCCGATTTAATTCTTCTTATTAACTTCGCATCATCTGCAAGCAAGGACACTTCTGAGTGTGTGTGTGTGTGTGTGTGTGTGTGTGTGTATGTGTGTGTGTATTTATCTAGTCGCAGCAGAATTACCTGCGTGGTGTCCAAACTTTAAACTGCAGATGTTGTCCCACTTATCACTTACTCCTGGGTGCTACTACACTATTATGTCAATTTATATATAAATGAATTTCTTTTTAGTACTCTTTCTATGCCACTTTTTTATCACTTTACAACTGGTGACTCTTGATACGAGGAATTGGAGTCACTCTTGCCCGCCTCGGACCACAGCTTATCACCTCTCATTTCCCAGGCGCTGCATGACCCCTACATGTTTAGCGCTTCTCATGAATATAATAATAGTAAACGTCTTGCTGATAGTCCTAATAAATATTTTATTTTACATTTTTCACATTTTTTTCATTATATTTTGTACGTATATGTGAGTGTAGTATATTATGCTTATGTTACATATCTGTCTGTTTCACTCTAATACTGGTAGTATTGCATGTATTAGTGCACGGAGGATCGAGCCTCCTTCAGTCCTTACGCTGTATGATCCACACGGGTTTAGCGCTTAACATAAAAAATCCATCACAGACACCTCATTATTATTATATTTTGGGGAAGCGCTAAACCTATAGGGGACATACAGCACCTTGGGGACTTGGAGACATTCTGGTTCGACTCAAAGAAGGGAGAAAGACACTTCCTTACATCAAGAGCCCTTCACCGGCGTCAAGGAACCTTCCCTGAAGGGACAAACACCTCATCATGACTGGGCTTTATACCCCCTTGATTCATGTCATATCAGATAACTATTAACATTACTTCACTGCAAACAATAAATTCCCCTTAGGCCGCATCAAACCCATTTTAACCTTCTAAGTTCCAGCATTCTTTGCAAACGTACAAACCAATAAACAATTTTATTTCCGAAACGTCCATAATTATTAAAAAAAAATTAAGGTGAAGTTTATTACATATACTTTTTCGAAAAAAAAAACTGGTTATGTGAAACATCTCGGGCAGACTAACACTAATATTTCAATACACTTATATTTGTACAATTATATAGCTAGGGTGAAATTATCTGAACAATAAATTTAATATAATCTAGCTGTCTTTATATAAAGTAATTAAATATTTCGATAATATTAAATAACAAACCTTTCTTTGTCTCTACACGTCATCACATCATGTCATTACATCCTGTTATAACATCACTCTGAGAGGACAAAGTAAAGTGATACCCATAATATCGACTTAAGAAATTAAGTACAAATACGTAGAACATATTTACTGTATCCAGTAAAGAGGTCCTAAATGTAAGCAATAGTGCCCTTTTACCCGCTTCATTCTACGTAAACATGTGATTTTTACATCGGTTCAAGACCGTTGCTCAAGCCACTGGAGTACTAAAGTGTAAGTGTAATTTGGGGACCAAATATGTGACTGTAATAATGACGAATAAGACACATGGGTATCTATTTCAGAAACGTTTTGCCTACACGGGAGGCATCTTCAGTCGTATTTTAGTCACCTGAAGTCGACTGAAGAAGCCTACTGTGTAGACGACCCGTTTCGGATACCAAAGTACTGTATATCTGTCTACTTCATTTACTTCCCCAGGAGGCTATACTCACCGTTCTTGGTGGGCGTGGGAGGGCAGTCGGAGTGGAGGCGGTGTAGGGCGCGTGCGGCTATCAACTTCTCCTGTGGGGTCATGTAGGCGTGGGTAGGGCGCTCACACAGCTCCAGGTTGTCCTTCGTCAGGGACTCAGCCGAAGCCACTCTGTTGTAGGGAGGTGTCGTATCTGAGGTCCACCCACTGCTAGATATAGCCTACCCACTGCTAGATGTAGCCTACCCACTGCTAGATGTAGTCTACCCACTGCTGGATGTAGCCTACCCACTGCTAGATGTAGCAGTGGGTAGGCATTAATTTATTTGGGTCAAGGCTGTGTGTGCTTTCCGCAGGCAGTGTGTGTTACCTGTCACCAACTCCTACTATCTTTCTCTTTCTCTCTCTCTCTCCCCCTACACACACACACACACACACACACACACACACACACACACATACACAGTTCTGAGGATCAATTGATGGCCAGCGGTAAACACTGACATTTCCCAGAAAGAAGAGATCACAAGATTATCTGACTGAGGAGAAATAGACGAAGTCAGAATATTTCGGTGTTCAATAACCCAAAGACACCTTCAGCAATACCATCTGACAACAACCCACACTGAGCCAAAGAGCATCACACTGTAGTGACTCGAAATAAGGAAGGTGGGTAACTTTTTTTTTTATACTGTTTGACGGTAATCACAGATACCATCTTTGAGAGCGAAAGAAATGTTAAATTAATAGAGAAAGGGTCAGATGAAACAGGTATTAATTAATGTTCAATGGAGAACTTGGAAAGGCTTCCCTGGATGTTGCACAAGTCAGTCATGAATAATAAACTGGTCATGGAGGAATTAAGGTCAAGAGTGGAGGCACTATTCATGCCATAGGGGCGCACTCTCCCAGTGAGAGCCAAATCATCCCTCGACCCTGAGACACTTTTCACCCACGTATGCAGTGATCTGGCACACACCTCTGTTGTAACTATCATGCAACAACTATTGGAAAAAATGGAAAAGAAACAGAGAAATAAACTATTATGTGACGAGTAAAAATTATATTACCGTGGCAGAAATAAGGCAAAACTGAAATATAAACTGGATAATATTTTGGTCTTTCCTGGAACATCATCAAGTGGCAAGTGTGTCCACATATGTAGAGAGATGTATTATAAACACACTATCTGGAAAAATTAATTAAAAAACAAGGGAATATTTTGATCTGCATCAGAGACCTTCAGATACCGAAATATTCAGCTGGACTTTTTAATTCTTTTCCAGACAGTGGAGTCTATATTACAGTGAGTAGATAGATGTGTATTAGGGATACACCTTGAGCAATAATGTAGTTATATACATTAGGAGAAATGACGACTGTTAGAGGTGGCTCCGTCAATCCAGTGAACCCCATTATTAAACTGGCCCTTTAAGGAGCGTGCCTTAGTGTTAGTGAAATACTCTTGATCCAAAGAATTAGAGTTGCCTCGACTGGTGTGGGTCGCATCCCGGGACAAAATTGACCTAATTTTCCCGAAATGTTCTGCATAACAAGGGGCTTTCTATATAGTAGTATTTCATTGATGTCAGCTAGGCCTGTATACCTTGTACATGTACTTGTAGATATTATTATTATATTATTAAACCTAATTACCTCCTATTCTCTAGGTACCGTATGATTCTATTCAGTTTAGCACTTCATCGTAAATATATATATAATAGTGGGTTGATATCATGGGCCTGTCACCAGGAATATACTCCACTGGGATTTGATTTTAAACATTTTCTCACTGAGGTACGCCTGAACTCATATATAATGTTCTATGGCACTCCAGTGACATTGTCCATTAAACCATACCCCCGGCCGGGATTGAACCCGCGGTCATAGAGTCTCAAAACTCCAGCCCGTCGCGTTAGCCACTAGACCAGCTAGCCACAATAACGCGACGCGACGGGCTGGAGTTTTGAGACTATGACCGCGGGTTCAATCCCGGCCGGGGGTATGGTTTATTTGCAATCGTGTCATTACGATTTCTTGAGTCATTGTCCATTAATTACGTTTTGGTCACGAAGGTACATAGACACCAACGTCAATTGTGTGGATGTATCAGCTGAATTTTTAATATTCAAAATTAGTACTCAGCCTTAAAATTTGGCTCACTCTATAAGTGTTTATGCAGTCATATTTTGGCTAATTTTTAGTATATGATATAACCAGGTAAACAAATGTTGCCTAAATTTATTTATTTTTTTGGTCATCTAGTGGCACACTCAGGTCTAGTGATATTTAGACTCTATGAATACTGAGCAGAATATTAAGAATATTAAGAATGTTAAGTTTTTTTTTCAGTTTTAACGCTGAGTACAAACAATTGCAACTTGCACAGGTAAGTTGTAGAAAGTTTCTGGAGAATTACTGGATCCTTTTAGTTATTTATGGGTTTTTATACTTAATTTCCTCGGTCACATTCGTATATACTTTAATTTTAGAACTGTACGATCGCTGCGTGTCCACTAATTCTTCTTGATCCGTGACATTAAATTGTAAGTGGTATTTGTTTCAACTGATGAATTTTCCAGACAATAATTGCTGTCAGTGGATATATGTGAAAAAAAAACAAAAAAAAACATGAGCACTATTTTTCAATATTTCAACGTGCTCGCTGAGCAGCGATACGATCACTATTTTGTGTCCCACCAGAATTTTAAAATTACCATATTTCACAATCACTTTCCAGTTTCTCTCAAAACAATCATTCTTCCACTTGGTTCAAAATTCCAGTTTAGAATCTGTCTCTCTTCCTCCTCTTTTCTTCTCACATTTCCGGATGTTTGAACATTCAAAATTATTCACTTTTCACTTGACAGTATTTATTCTAAACAACAATTCTCTTGAATCTGAATCTTTATACCTCCCTTTTTTTGACTGGTCCAGTGTCTAACGCGACGGTCTGGAGTTTTGAGACTGACCGCGGGTTCAAACCCCACCCGTGGTATGGTTTACCTCCCTCTTTTCATTCTACCTTTTTTTCAGCATTAACAATATTATCTCTCTACCTTTCTACATGTGAATTTAACTCTCCCATGCAAACTCTCCCTTGCACCTTTTAAACTCCTCTAATTTCAAAGTGGTCATTCATAAAAGTAACAATTAAAATTTAACCTCTTTTCTACATCCATGTACGCTAAAACAACACAGTTTCGGTAATCACTTTCATTTTTAATGGTTAGTTCCTGCATTTAGGGGAATGATAATCGGCCCTTTATTCCTGCCAGGTTAGTCACCCTCTGTGACCCACATAGCTACAAAGGATTTTAATCCGCTTCCCCGAGACAGTTATAAAGATTAAGTAGAAATAAAGACAAAAATGGATAGTAAGTGGATTGTAAGTAAAGATTATAAGTATGTATACAGCAGCTATTATTAGTAGTTATACAGCAGTTATAATCTCTGCCAACTTTATTCTCATGATTAATATTCTCTCAGTAGTTTATATACCCTACGTTCCTAAGGTAGTGTGGGACACAGGGGGTTTTATTTGTAAGGAAAAAAATAATCATGACAGTCCCGAACAAGCTTTATTTCAGGAAATATTTCGCTCAGGATTGAGTTTTATCAGGACTTGATTTAATGCTCAGTCGTGTACTAAACATGGATTAAAATAAAAGAATGACCTACATTGCTTGTCTTTATACCCACTTGTCTGCGTGTTGTCCCAGCCACCCAAAATTCTCCAGATTCGGATTGGTAACATTGGAAAATCCAAGAAAGTCAAGCAGTTTGGCTTTTTTACATTGGGAGTCCATAGTTATATGTATTAAGATTCGAATCTCTGAGCTTTCTGCTGGCTTACTGCTCAACCTTGTAAAAAAAAAACTGACATAATATCTTATGATTTATTTTTCTAAAGTAGTGCTCACCGTGATATTTTCCTGTGTGTGACTACGGGAGAGGAGGAAGAGGCTAGGAGGGGATGGTGGGGACGAGCATAGAAGCAGCAGCAACATATCCTCTTCAGGAACGCCATGACTCCCCAGCCTTGATCATCCTTGTCTAACCTCGAGGAAGACGTTGATATTCCTCCTGCTTTCCGCCGCCGTCGCTCCTTCTTGAGGTCATCCGAGCCGAAGACGTCGTAGCCCTTATTCTTCATCTTAACGATGATTTCAGATATCTTTCCCTTCATCTGCAGGAGAGGAATGGCAGCAAGTTATGACGGAGGGACTGGGTGGATGTAGTTTGGCTGATGAACAATATACACTATCAGCTGTACTCTCATGTTTGTTTTTCGTGTTATTTACAACTTTTAAGAAACGTCATTGTTTATTATGCGTATGTTTTAGCCACACTATGATTTACTGATGCTGTTACACATAATTATCTCTTCACACGAGCAACGTAGTCAGAAGTACTATAATCCGAGGCTTCCATATAGCCCATGATAAGCGTCTGTAATGTGTCATTCTCAATGTTTTGATATGTCACTGTAGTTTGCATTTTCTCTTCATTATATGACAGGAAATTTCAGTAAAATTATATACATACACGATGTCTCCAAAGTTTGACATGGGCAAAAGACCTGAAAAATACTGAATACAGACTTGCAGTTAATTAATTTATTCTAATTATATTCGCTACCACTTGTAATTAATTCTACATTATAACCTTTCTTAAGATCTTTTGTTCTATTTAGCTATCGTGGGTGTGGGAGGACGGTGATGCACTACACCTCTCTAGCGTCGTGTCGCACAACTGACACCTTTGGAAGCACTGTTATGGGACGTACACCAGACCTGTCTCCTACACATACACTGATCATTTACATATAGGTTATAAATTTTCTTACTAATACGGTCGTATAATATCTGGAGATCTCGATTAACACGAAGACATATACTGTAATATGTATTCTTATCACTTAACTGGAAACTGTATATAGTATTATGCTGATAAAGATGAGAGGAAGTCGGTGTCAGATCTACAGCTTGGGACACAGGGACACATGTGCGGGCAGTCAGCAAGATAACAGGTGTACACTCAGCTTTCTAAAGGAACATTCTCAGTTTTGTATTGAATATTCATAAGTTTTATGACACTGAGATCAATATATTTCGACCATAACACCTTGAGCACATCGCGTCTCGTCCGATGAGCGAAGGTGAGAAAAATTAGGTTTGGTTAGTACTTAGGTGGGTGATAGCCTAGTTGCACCTAATGCTGTGGCACACTTTTTTTTTTTAATTAGGCAGTAGTGGGGCTCAAGTGGTAGCGTCTTCGGATCATAATTGAATAATCCGGGTTCGATTCTCGAACGAGTAGAAACACTTACCATGGTTCCTTACACCTGTTTTCCCCTGTTCACCTAGAAGTAAGTAGGTACAAGAGTGTTCGCTACATTACACCTGTTGCCTCTCTTCATCTAGTATTTACCTGTGTGTTAGCTACCTCACACCTTTTGTCCCTAGTCACTTAGCAGTAATTAGGTACCTGGGTTAGCTACCATATATACATTGGCCCTGATCACCCAGCAATAAGTAGGTACCTAGGTATTTGCTACTTCACACCTATTGTCCCTGTTCACCTAGCAGTCTGTAAGCATCTGGGTTTTAACTGACTTCTACGAGCTTAAGCTGAAGGAATCTAACAAGAGACAAGAATCACAGGAAGAACTAAAAGCCATAAAGGAAATTGAAAAAAAAATACTTCTTCTCTTATGCGAAATCTAAGGAAAAAACAACATCCAGTATTGGGCCCCTGCTTAGGCGGGATGGGACATACACAGATGACAGCCAAGAAACGAGTGAGATACTAAAGTCCCAATACGACTCAGTGTTCAGCGAGCCGCTGCCCAGACTAAGGGTCGACAATCCAAATGAATTCTTTATGAACGAAACCCAAAATCTGGTCATCTCAAAAATCTCGGATATTATCCTAACTCCACAAGACTTTGAAGAGGCAATAAATGACATACCCATGCACTCTGCCCCAGGCCCAGACTCATGGAACTCCGTGTTCATCAAGAATTGCAAGAAGCCTCTATCGCGTGCCTTCAGCATTTTATGGAGAGGGAGCATGGACACAGGGGTCATCCCACACACACTAAAAACAACAGATATAGCCCCACTCCACAAAGGTGGCAGTAAAGGAACTGCAAAGAACTACAGACCGATAGCACTAACATCCCATACCATAAAAATCTTTGAGAGGGTTCTAAGAAGCAAGATAGCCAACCACCTAGATACCCATCAGTTACACAACCCAGGGCAACACGGGCTTAGAGCAGGTCGCTCCTGCCTGTCCCAGCTACTAGACCACTATGACAAGGTCCTGGATGCTGTAGAGGATAAACAAAATACATACTTTGCAAAAGCTTTCGACAAGTGTGACATGGTGTAATAGTACACAAAGTGCGTGACAAAGGAATAACAGGAAAAGTTGATAGATGGATCTATAACTTCCTGACAAATAGAACACAAAGAGTAATAGTAAACAGAGTAAAGTCCCAGGCAGCCATGGTAAAAAACTCTGTTCCACATGGCACAGTACTCGCTCCCATTCTTTTCCTCATCCTCATTTCTGACATACACAGAGATGTAAGCCATAGTTCCGTGTCTTCCTTTGCGGATGACACCCGGATCACCATGGCAGTGACCTCCATCGAAGACACCGCGAGACTCCAAGCGCACATCAACCAAATCTTCGAATGGGCCACTCAGGACAATATGAAGTTCAACGAGGAGAAATTTCAACTACTCAGATATGGGAAACTTGAGGAAATTAAAAATGTATCAGGGTATACGACAAATTCTAACCATACGGCGGAAAAGTAATGCGAAGGACCTGGGACTGATAATGTCAGAAGATATCGCCTTCAAAGACCACAACAATGTGTCTACCTCCTCTGCTAGGAAAATGATAATAATACTAATAATAATAATAATAAAAAAAAAAAATAATAATAATAATAATAATAATAATAATAATAATATATTTACAACAAGTACATGTACAAGGTGTACAGGCCTACCTGACATACCACTATATAGAAAGCCCCTTGTTATGCTGAGCATTTCGGGCAAATTAGGTTAGTGTCCCAGGATGCGACCCACACCAGTCGATTAACACCAAGGTACCCATATTACTGATGGGTGAACATAGAAACAGGCCATACCACGGGCGGGGATAGAACCAGCAATCAGTCTCAAAACTCCAGACCGTCGCGTTATCCCGTCCGTGATATGGTTTGTTTACAATCGTGTCATTACGATTTCGTGAGTCATAGACAATAGGTGTAGAGATACACGCCCAATGTTCCTACCTTGGCTGGGAATCGAACTCAGACCCTCGCCGTGTGAAACGAAAGCTTTAGCCACCAGGCCACCATCAAAACTAGGACGCCGAGCCCATAAAGATTCACTTCAAATCGCTTGTGCTCACTAGGCTGGAATACTGCTGTACAATAACGGCCCCTTCAAGGCTGGCGACACTGCAGACCTGGAGAGTGTACAAAGAACTTTCACGGCACACAGAAGTACGATAAGGCACCTAAATTACTGGGAAAGGTTGAAGGTCCTTGATCTGTATTCCCTCGAACGCAGGCGAGAGAGATACATGGTAATATACACTCAGAAGGTTCTGGAAGAATTGGTACCAAACCTGCACACGAAAATCACTCCGTATGAAAGCAAAAGACTCGGCAGGAGATGCAACATTCCCCCGATGAAAAGCAGGGGCGCCACGAGTACACTGAGACAACACAATAAGTGTCCACGGCCCAAGGCTGTTCAATTGCCTCCCAGCATACATAAGGGGGATAATCAATAGACCCCTGGCTGTCTTCAAGAAGGCACTGGACAGGCACCTAAAGTCAGAACCTGACCAACCGGGCTGTAGTTCGTACGTCAGCTTGCGTGCGGCCAACAGTAACAGCCTGGTTGATCAGACCCAGATTCACCATGAGGCCTGGTCTCAGACCGGTCCTCGGGGGCGTTGACCCCCGAAACCCTCTCCAGGTAAACTCCAGGTATGGGTCGCATCCTGGGAAAGAGATTCAAAGAATCCCAATGACTTTCTTAGGTTATTCTGGGTTATTAACCCTCCTGGTATTCCTGAGTTACTAACCCTCTGAGTAATCCTTAAAAACTAATCCTCCGGGTAATCCTGAGTTATTAAATCGTCATGTAATCATGGGTACCATCACCTAGGTTAATTGTGCTGTAAGTGTCGTGAACACTTCAGTAATATGAACTATTTGTGATTCGTAAGTATACCTATACTAGATAATTAAGTTTATACATTACCGATGTTGTTACTGATATTATTCTTATTGGCTGTGTTGTCTAGACGGGAGGGGTGAGACCTCTGAGAATACATATGATTGTCAAGCATAGGCGGCGCCAGAATTTCTATACTGGGAAGGAAGGGTGGCTTCTGACTGGACAGAGGCGGAAGACTAGGAGACTTGTTTTATTTGTGGGGTTTTGGGAAGGCCCATGACCCTATACCCTTTCCTTCCTTTGCGCCTCCTGTTGTCTGGCTTTTTCCATAGCCTAGGGGGAGCGCTAAACCAGTAGGATTATACAGAGCATGTGTTTGGGGGGATGGAAGGTATTCAGGCTCAATTTAGGGAACCAGAGCACAGATCCAATTCCCTAGATCAAGAAACGAGAAACATTGAATATTCATGGCAAGATACCTTTCAGGATGCAGTTTGCGTGAAGCAGCTGCCATCGATAAATATCTGTAGGGCTCTCAGCCACACCTTTCACAGGAGTTTGTTGTAGATTTTCCATGTGGATATCGCCAGATGATATTACTCATGAATTCTGTACACATGCTTACTTTCCCGTTAGACAGGATAGCCAATCAATCAAATCAAATCAAATCAATCAAATCAAAGTTTATTCTCTATAAGGGTTACAATGCGGGGTTTACAGAGTTTGGTTATTGTGTGGTTTACATGTAATAAAATACTAATTACAGAGGGGGCCACTAGAACACCTAGCAAGGCTAGGCATTTCGGGCAAACATAGATTAATTCTTAACCCTAAATTATAACAAATTGTGGAGTAAGTTGACTAAATGCTAAATGACTAAATACTAAGTGACTAAATACTAGTTTGTGAGTTTAGCAATGTGAATGCTTTTCTTTTGGCACAATACATAGTTTCTATATTGGAGTATCACAGGTAAACTTGTGACTAGTTAGGAATCGTTATTTTAAGATTAAGATACGTATTTCTGTGCTTATAGTCAAATGGGTGAGTGAGTGTAAGTGTGAACCACCAGGTGGTTTTTATGTACTATGTATATATTGGTGGCCTGGTGGCTAAAGCTCCCGCTTCACACACGGAGGGCCCGGGTTCGATTCCCGGCGGGTGGAAACATTTCGACACGTTTCCTTACACCTGTTGTCCTGTTCACCTAGCAGCAAATAGGTACCTGGGTGTTAGTCGACTGGTGTGGGTCGCATCCTGGGGGACAAGATTAAGGACCCCAATGGAAATAAGTTAGACAGTCCTCGATGACGCACTGACTTTCTTGGGTTATCCTGGGTGGCTAACCCTCCGGGGTTAAAAATCCGAACGAAATCTTATCTTATCTTAATCTTAAGCAGGAGATTTTCAAACTTCTCGTACAGCATACTAAGGAGTTCGTTAACCGAATCTTGTACTCTGGAGATAGTACTCTGGAGATGTGGTATCAAAGAAGAAAACAGAAGTATTGATCTTCGACGAGAACGAC